TATTTCCTTGTCATGTGGATTTTCCCTATATGATGCATGAATTAAAACTTTAATTAAAATTAAAAATTTTAAACTCTAATTTCAACACCGCAATATAACTTTTAGTCTTTCCCCATTTGATATATGTTATTCTCTTCTCCAACAATGAGAAACTTGGATCTCTTATATTTGCTCACTTTTCTCAAGCCTAGAATATAAAGAAGGTAGTTTCAGAACTTTTAACTCATACCCCTACAAAAAGCAATCCTACTAACTAGTTTTCAATATTTTTAATAGTTTTTTTGGGTAAAAATTACATAGTAATTTCATTTATGTACAATTTGATAAACTTTTGAAAAAATGTACATACTCAACCTACACCATTTTTTAAGACACAGAACATTACTGTCACCCAATAATGTTCCCTCATGCTTCTTCTCAATCAACTTTTCTGCCAGAGGAAACCATTTTTCTAATTATTTTCATTGTAGATTAGCTTTATCTGTCCTAGCACATCACGTAAATGGAATCAATCACATATATATATATATTATTTCATGTATATAATATAATGTTTATAATATTTATCCACATTCTTAAAAATATTAATAGTTTATTCCTTTCTATTGCTGAATCATATACCATTTAATCACTGTATTAAAATGCATCCATTCTCTTGTTGAGACAATTGGAGTTTTGGAACTTTTGGTTATTAAAGGTAAAGCCAATTCTAACATTTTTATATAATTATCTTCAGATATAAATTTTTGGGTAAATATCTAGAAATAGAATTAATAGGGGAGGGAGAGCTTATGCTTAACTTTATAAGAAAAGGCAAAATCTTTTTCAAAAGTGGTTATACTATTTTAACTTCCTACCAGCAATGTATGAGAGTTCTGCCTGCTACATATCCAATAACAAACAACATTTGGTATTATCAGTCTTTTTAATTTTGACCATTCTGGAGGGTGGAAGCAGATCACACTGTGGTTTAGGTTTAGTTTGCATTTCCCTGAAGACTTAGGTTTTGAGTATTTTTACATGTGCTTTGTGAACTTTCACATGTCTTACTTTATAAAGTGTCTGCTTAAGTCTTTTGCCAGTTTTTCCTCTATTGAGACATATCTTTTTATTATTAAGCTGTGGAGTTCTTTAAGTATTCTGGATGCAAATCTCTAGATATATGTTTTGCAAATATTTTCTTCTAGTCTGTGGATTTTACTTTGTGTTGTAATGTCTTTCAAAGACTAAAAGATTTTAGTAAAATCTAGATGTTGTTCCCCTAAGAAATCCCTGCTGCTCCCAAGTTATGAAGATATTCTCCTATGTCATCTTCTAGAAACCACATTTAATTTTTAGATCTATGTTTCATTTCTAATTAATGTTGGTATATAATAAAAATAGTGGTTGAGGATACTATTTTTCCATATAAAAATCCATTTGTTAAAGCATTATTTATTGAAAAAAAACCTTACTTTTACTTAAATGAATAACTGTTACCTTTGTTGAAAAATCAACCAATTGTATAAATGATACTTCTAAACTCTTTATTCTATCCTATGGTTCTACTTGGCTAACCTTATGCAAAGCCATACTGCCTTGATTATTATAGCTTTATAGTAAATCTTAAAGCTAGGTAGCATAAGTTGTCCAGTTATATTTTTTTTTCAGGACTGTTTTGCCATTCTGTATCTCTTGCATTTCCACAGAAAAATTATTATCTGATTTTCACTTTCCATGAAAATGTCTACTGAAATATGATTGGGATTGCTTTGCTCAGTTTGGAGAGAATAAACATCATAATACTGAGTCCACCAATCAATGAACATAATATATCTGTCCATTTATTTATTTTTCCATTTCTCCCAGTAATGTTTTATAAATTTTAGTGTATATTTCTTACATATGTTTTGCCAAATTTATTCTATGTATTTAATGTCTTTTTGCACTATTGCAAATGATACTGTTTTCTAATTGTTCGTTGCTAGTTGTATTAGTTTGTTAGTGTTGCCGTAACAAAGTACCACACACTGGATAGCTTAAATATCAGAAATTTATCTTGCCACTGTGCTGGAGACTGTCCAAGATCAAGGTGCCAGCAGGTTGGACTCCTTTGAGGCGTCTCTCCTCGATTTGCCAATGACCATGTTCTTTCTGTCTTCTCTCCACATGATTGGCCCTTCGTGGGAGAGCATCACTGGTGTCACTTTTTTTTTGTCTGTGCAAATTCCCTCTTCTTATAAGGGCACCAGTCAGATTGGATTAGGAACCACTCACATGACCTCATCTAACCTTGACTGCCTCTGTAAAGGCTCTGTCTCCAAATACAATCACATTCTGTGGTACTCAGGGTTAGAACTTCAACATATGAATCTGGGAAACAAATCAGCCCATAAGACTAGTATACAGAAATATAATTGATGTTATATATTGACCATTTATGCTGCAGCCTTGCTAAATCATCTCTTAATTCTTTTAGTTGTTTTGTACACTCCTTTGGATAGTCTTCATAAATAATCATATCTGCAAATGGAGAACTTTTTCCTTTCCAATTTTTATGCTTTGTATTTCTTTTTTGTGTTTTTGCTTTGTTGCATTTGTTTTTTGGTTATGTTTGCTTTTTCTATTTGTATGACGAAAACCTTTAGCAGTACAGGTAGGTAATGGCCAAATAATGTTGAACCCTATAAGCCACATTAGAGTTTGAGTTTTATTCTAGTACAATGAGAATACATTGGAAGTCTTCAGGTTAAGTTGTTGCTCATGAGCAACAAATGAGCAATGGTATATACATATATATATATCATTGATATATGCTATATGTATGTCTTAGTCCATTTGTGTTGCAATAACAAAATACCACAGACCGGGTAATTTATAAAAATAAAAATATAGGCCGGGCGCGGTGGCTCAAGCCTGTAATCCCAGCACTTTGGGAGGCCGAGGCGGGTGGATCACGAGGTCAAGAGATCAAGACCATCCTGGTCAACATGGTGAAACCCCGTCTCTACTAAAAAATACAAAAAATTAGCTGGGCATGGTGGCGCGTGCCTGTAGTCCCAGCTGCTCAGGAGGCTGAGGCAGGAGAATTGCCTGAACCCAGGAGGCGGAGGTTGCGGTGAGCAGAGATCGCGCCATTGCACTCCAGCCTGAGTAACAAGAGCGAAACTCTGTCTCAAAAAAAAAAATAAATAAATAAATAAATAAAAATATATATATACATACACATATATATCTTACATATATATGTCATTGCTCATTTGTTTGTTATAAATAGTATTAAGAGCATTTTTCAAGTTATTTCTTGGGAGGGTTTATTATTTACTTATTCTTACCACATTCCATAACAAGATTCAAGGTGTTTAGAACAATCCATACCAAGTTAAAACAAAATAATTGAGCAAATTCGGATAAAGAATAAAATGGAGTTGCAAAACAAGAGGCCCAGGTAATGGCAGTTCAAAATATGCCTACCTTTACTTAAATTTAAAGGAGGTATAGTACACATTTTGTCTGAGTTTCCCAGAGACTAGAACTATTTGAGACATTTCTGTTCCCCAATCCCTTGTGATGTTCCTCAGGTAACAGGCCTTCACAGTAGTCCCCAGCCTACCATCTATACCACACAGAATTGAGATTTATTGTTGAGAGAATCTATGTACAGTTTTTCTTTTTTGTTATTGAGCCAGGAGTCTCACACTGTCACAGAGACTGAAGTGCAAGACATGATCATGACTCATTGCAGCCTTGACCTCCTGGGCTCAATCCTCTTGCCTCAGCCTCTCCAGTAACTAGAATTACAGGTGTGTTTCCTCATGCCTGGCTAATTTTTTAAAAAATTTTGTAGAGACAGGGTCATGCAATGTTGCCCAGGCTGGTTCAAACTCCAGAGATCAAGTGATTCTCCTACCTCACCCTCCCCCAAGTTCGGAGATTACAGGCATGAGTCACTGTTACCAGCCTATGGATTGTTTTTCTTGCAGCAATTTTTCAGAAACCGTTCTGGTTTCTGATAATTTAACCCTTTCAGGTTAGAAGAGAAAAATGAACATTTTGATATTACCCATTGTCTTAGTTCATTTTCATTGCTATAATAAAATACCACAGACTGGGTAATTTATAGACAATAGAAATTAATTTCTCACAGTTCTGGAGGCTGGAAATGCCAAGATTAAAGTGCCAGCAGAGTTGGTGTCTGGTGAGGGCTGCTCTTTGCTTCTAAAATGGCACCTTGTCGCTGCATCCTCTGCAGGGGTCAGTGTTGTGTCCTCACATGGTGGAAAGAATAGAAGGGGCCAACTGGCTCCTTTGAGTCTTTTTAAAAAAGGCACTAATGCATTTGCAAAAGCAGAGCCCTAATGGTCTAATCACCACTTAAAAGCACCTCCTCTCAATATTGTTGAATTGGGGATTAAGTTTCAACATGAATTTTGGAGGGAACATAAACACTGAAATGATTATACATATTTATTTAATCAAGTATCCAACAAAAGCAAATAATTCAAGCCCAAATCCATGCATCTTTAGTAGATAAGCAGTTTTAAGTTACAATTGACCTCCTGTTAGGAGGAATGGATGGATTTCCAAAAGAAAAAACAGGACTGAGGAGAAACTCTCCACAGTAACGTGCCACTTTTCAGAGGACAGACTACATATATGATTCCCATAATACTATATTTTTATTGTACCTTTTCTTTTCTTTCTTTTTTTTGTTTTTTTGAGACAGAGTCTCACTCCATCACCAGGCGCCAGGCTGGTGTGCAGTGGCGCGACCTCAGCTCACTGCAACCTCCGCCTCCCGGATTCAAGCAATTCTCCTGCCTCAGCCTCCCGAGTAGCTGGGACTACAGGCGCATGCCACCACGCCCAGCTAATTTTTTTGTATTTTTAGTAGAGACGAGGTTTCACCATGTTGGCTAGTATGGTCTCGATCTCTTGACCTCATGATCCACCCGCTTCGGCCTCTTAAAGTGCTGGGATTACAGGCGTGAGCCACCGCGCCCGGCCTATTTTACCTTTTCTATGTTTAGACACACAAATATCATTGCATTACAACTGCCTACAGTATTCAGTACAGTTATATGCTGTATAGGTTTGTGGCCTAGGAGGAATACGTTTACCACATAGCCTAGGTGTGTGGTAGGCTGAGCCATCTATTTTGTGTTAGGACACTGTGATGTTCAAAGGAGGATGAAATTGCCTAAGGATGCATTTCTTAGAATGTATCCTGCTGTTCAGTGACGCATGACTGTATTCCATGAGCAGTATAATCACTATCATAGTAACACATTAGGAGAGAATTCTCATTTTTAAATCCGATATAATTTATCACATATTGGTTCACACTCTACTGCTTTGCTTGCTTTTCTTTGGTTGTGGTTACCTGCGTAGAGCAGTAAAGTTTCAGAAAAACCGACGTTGCAAAAGGTCAATTATTCAATGAAGGAAAGATAAACCATTGCATTGGGGGACTAAAAGATACTTTTAAAAGTTCTCAGATTATCGATTTAACGATGTGTCACTATGTACTGAATAACGCCTTACATTCTTGCCAAGAGTATTTTGAAGGGAGTTTGTTAAAAGTATATCAAAGTCATTTTTGTGTGTGTGTGTGTATCACTGCTAATGGTGTCATTCACAAATTGTGTAGCCCATAATTCCAGATTTAATTCTACCTAAAAATATAGGTTATTGCAAAATGCCATATTAAAACTGTAAATGCGTGACAGGAAGATGGGGATGCAGACAAAGCAAAGGATGACACCAACTCCTTTTTTAAAGAAGCAAGATAGGGATTGGACAAAATTGGCTGAGCCATTTTTAAGGGATACTTTTAAGGGAGTGTTAATTCCAATTTAATTAAAATGATGCATTAATTGAAAATTGGGTTAACTGGTTTCCCTCGACTGCACCTGGGTTGTGCCAGTGCTCTCGGATTAACCTAATTGTATAGAGGTGCCCTTGTTTTCTAACTTCATGCACAAAGCATTGGAAATTATTTGTTTGCCTTTTCTTCTCCAAGAAAATCTTTTTCCAATTAGGCAAAAGGGAACTTTGAGGCAATGGTTAAAGGCACTCAATTTATAATTATGGCTGTTACCATTAACATTAAGCACTGGCATGGCTTTGTTGCAAGTTACCCACCTACACCTGCAAATCTGTCTTGCTGGCACACGCCGCAGCTCTCTCCACCCCGCGGTGGTCAGTGGTTGGAGCGCTTTAAGTCCTGCGAGGGCTGGGCTCCGAAGGAGGTCGGTCCCGGTTCCTCCCTGACCCAAGCGTAAGGCTGGGGAAAAGCGAGGAGGGACGGTCATTGTACTCTCAGGCCCCAGGAAAAGCGCCCAGGGTCGCACCACGTCTCGCTTTAGAGCAAAATTTCCCACATCGCGACCTTCCCTCCCTACGCGGGCAGTCTGAGAACACACCCAGTCACCTAGCGCGCTCCCCAGAAGCCGGCTCGGCTCACAGCGCACCCCAGCGGCCGCGTGGCCTCCTTCCAGCCGCAGCCACTTGGTTTCCGGAGAGCTCTCCGGGAGCCGCCGCCGCCGCCACCTCGGAACCAGGGGTCTCCGGAGCCTGCGAGAGCCGAACACTGCGGCACCCTAGAGAGGGGCGCAGCAGCTGCGCCGGCCCCGCCCACCACACCTGGACATCCTGAGGACCGCGCGAGGAGGGGCGGGGCAGGAGGCTGGCCTGGCGCTCGGGCCGCTTTGCCTAAAGCCGGCCCTACTAGAGCCGGACGAAGGGGGAGGGTCTCGAGGCTTGGTCCTGTTCTTCCGAGGGAGGGACCCCAGCTGGGGTGGAAAAGCAGCATCAGAGAGCCGCCGAGGCGTGCGGCGCCAACTATGGAGCCGGCCGGCCCCAGCTTCAGGCGGCAGCGACAGCAGCAGCAGCCCCAGCCGCAGAAGCAGCAGCAGAGGGATCAGGACTCTGTCGAAGCATGGCTGGACGATCACTGGGACTTTACCTTCTCTTACTTTGTTAGAAAAGCCACCAGGTAAGAGGAGGACCCACGGAAGACCCGGCCGGGGCATGGAGTGTGACCCGGAGCTGATTTTTCTCCCTATCGGATTTTGCCCTTCTTTCACCCGTTCCCAGGCCCTTTGCTTTTTGGAGTAGGTCCTCGGTCCTGTTACGAAGTAGAAACCTCAACTCTAAGCGAGCACAGTCGAAAAACTCAAGCGTCGGATATGATACAACTTGCTCACAAAGTTCAAATACAAAACTGTACTTGCCGGCCTTCCACCCTCAGCCCTGTCTCCCTTGGTATTCCCCGGGAACATGATTATTTTCATATCTGCGTACTCACTGGCCTTCCCCTGGCCCCTCTCTAGCCCCCTGATTCTCCTAAACCCAATCAGCAAAACCCAAACAGTTTCTGAGCCCCTTCCCTGCAGCTCCGGAAGCACCATTTCCAAGTCGGTCTCGGTGGCTCCGCTCCTCCCCCGTCCCCCCTTGCCTTGGCCCTGGCTGGGCGGGGAAGCCGGGGTTAGGGACGAGACCACGGGAAGCCCAAAGGCAACATGACAGAACCTTCCCAAAGTGAGTGGGTCGTCTTTTCCCCCCTTCTAGTCCTCTGATTGTCCCGCGGGTCTCCTTTCACTCGCTTCTCCGCCGAAGGCTGAGCCGCCAGAAGTAGAGCTCTGCCGAGTGGTTTGCGGCGCGCACACAAAGGGCGCGGGGCAGGCGCCGCCCGGAGCGGACCCCAAGGGGCAGCGGAGACCCCAGAGGCCGGCTCTTTCTGGTCGAGAGCCAAGCGCCGGGGCGGCCCTTGCGGAGGGCGGGGAGGAGGGAGCTTGTCCTTTTGGAGGCCGCTGCGCAGAGGGCAGTCGGGGCACGCGTGGGAAACGCTCGCGGGAGAGTTGGTGAGGAGTTGAGACTGGGAGCAGAGGGACAAGAAGAGTGGAGCGGAGAGTGCTTGGCGGACGGGTGCCCCGAAGCCTGAGGAGTTGGTGCGAAGTCGGGGTGCTCGGAGTCCAGGACGCACCCCTTTGCAGGAGTCCCCGCCCCTCTACCGCCTGCTCCAGGCAGCGGCGGTCGGGCAGTGGATGCTGGCAGTCTTGGCCGGAGGTGATGGTGGAGGAGTCGGTCCGGGTTCGACGCCGGACTCCCACCCGCCGGCTCGCGGCGGTGGCTCTGCGGAGCGCTCCCCGCCAGGGGGCGGCGCAGCGCGGGGCAAGCGGGAGGCGACGGGCGGCGGCGCGGAGGCCCGGGCGGTGAGGGAGCTGGCTCCCAGTCGCCGACCTCACCTCAAATCACCTGGGCTCGTTGTTGCCCCCGAGGAGCCTCCTGGAGTCCAGGATCGGGGAAGTTCGGAAACGAACTTCCTACGTTTGCTATGTTGCCCTTTGGAGACAAAACGAGGTACTTCTTTCAGCATCCCCCTATCCCCCTTCCCTGTTTCTCCGGGGGCGCGGCGGGTCCTGGGTGCTGAGTGGTGACGCCCCAGTGGCACCAGCGGGACGATGTATCATTGAAGATGGACTGTATAACTTTTGTTGTTGCTGCTCTCTTGCAGATGTATGTATTAACGAGGGTCTTAAATTAGGCCCTTTTTAATTTTTTTTTTTTTCCTAAGGAATATCCAGAGTTGGTGTCACTTTAATCACTTTGAAGGTTTTTTTGGCAGAGGGGAAGGCTCCGGGATTAATCTTTTCTCTTTAATGACCCAGCTTTTCTTTTAAAATCATCTTCCCCCGCTTTCACCTTCTTCCTTCAAAATCCTAAATCTTGATCCCTGAAAGTGGTTTCTTTTTCAAGGGCATGTTTCTGCGAGTTTAGGGTGAGATACTAAGGCCATGGAGGTCTAGAATGACCGGTGCTGTGGACCAACAGTTTTCAGGGGTCACCTGCCCCTCTGAGGACATCTGTACCCACTTTCCTTTCACTCTGCGCACTCCCAGACTTCTACTCTCCTTGAATTAAGGCTCATAGAATGGGGGGCTGGAAAACCAGGCAGATTTTTAAAAGTGTGTATTGGATGTGTTCTTTAGGCAGATTATAAGCAGTTTAAAGAAAAAAGTTATTGTCTAATAAATCAGCATAAATGTCCTTTCTTTGTTCCGTTTTTCTTTTTAAGACGTAAACTAGGTGTTGGTCGTTTTTGACTTAGTCATAGATAAGAACACTACACTTTCAGAGCCTACCAACACTTTGAAAGGGTAGCAACGTTTTAGTGGAAAATAAATTGGAAGAGCTAAGTTACATTTCGTTTCCTATTACTTTTTCTTCCAAGCAGCACAGGATCAAAATCCTGTTTCTCAAAATTACCATGCTCACTGTAAAATTTCATCAACTGAGGCTCTAAAAAAAACTTTAAAAGATTTTTCGGTTAGGGTTTTAAAATTATAGTTAATGTTGGCAATAGGCTGAACACTTTCTGTGATATATATGTGTGTGTATACATATTCTTAAGAGTTTGTGTTGAGTGTAAGTAGGAAAAGTGCAAAATATTTAATAATGTAGGCCCTCAATTTTAAGAGTTATAATGAAGTGCTGAGAGTTGTCAGTGCAAAGAATATAACTTAAGAATTTGTATGTAACCAGAGGTCTTTCATGGAACTATATTACCAGTTTGGTTTTATATTTGGTGGTATTAGCAGGAGACTTAAAATGTGAATAAAAGGTTGGACATTTGTTGATTATAAAAATGCCAAACCACTAAGCCCAGTGTGGTTCACATTATTGTGGTAAAAACTTATTGCCTATGTTTTAACTTTACAGCTAAGAATTTTTCTTTTTTAACTAGAAGCTCACATTACTTTGCTTTGCCCCTGTTTTTACACTTTGTAAGTGTAAAATGAATATTGTGTGTGATTCAGGAAACCCATGAAACAAAATAGTTTTGTAGATGCACGCAGCACATTTTAAGATTTAAAATGTATTTATATTCACTCAGATTGTCCATCTGCACCAGTAATCAGGCTTGCTGATAAAAACGATTTGTGCATTATTTAATTGTTGTCATTCGACATTCTTGCATGCTTTTCTATCCTTTTCTCAAACTGAATGATCTACATTCATTTGTAGTTATTGAACATCAAGGTTCTCGTATTCCCAAATTTTCAAACACCTGTGAATTTGGGTTGACCTTCAAAACGTTTATGCTATTATATTATATTATATTACATTCATCTCCAAACCCAGAGCTAATCACCTCATTAAAACTCTAGCTTGGGCCAGAAGCAGTGGCTCAGGCCTGTATCCTAGCACTTTGGGAGGCTGAGGCGGATGGATGAGGAAGTCAGGAGTTCGAGACCAGCCTGACCAACATGGTGAAACCCCGTCTCTACTAAAAATACAAAGTTAGCCGGGTTTGGTGGCACGTGCCTGGAATCCAAGCTACTTGGGAGGCTGAGGCAGGAGAATTGCTTGAACCCAGGAAGTGAAGGTTGCAGTGAGCCGAGATTGTGCCACTGTGCTCCAGCCTGGGTGACAGAGAGAGACTCCCTCACACCAAAAAAAGCTATAGCTTGGAGCTTTTTAGTTATCAAAACCTGTTTATGTCAATTTCAAGGTGTCAGTTGAATAATTCATAACATAGTCTGTTGGCATAAAAATTAATTTGAGACTAATAAATCACATCTGGAAAACTCCCAGGTCACTATTCTAGACAATTTGTAGTCCTAAAGGCCTCAGCTACTGTGTTAATTGAGGGCTTTAATGCGTATGCCTTTACAGCTGAAGCTTTCTTGGTGCTAATGCTGCTTAACAGCTGTTGTTATTCTTGGCAGCATATCAGAATAAAGTTATCTTTCATTAATTACTAATCAGCTCTGTGATTGTGGGTGATGTTTTAGGTTGTTTAGAATTGTAAGGATGACATAATGGACTTTATTGCTTTGTTTTATACCAGGCAAAAGCTTGAGAATATTTTGCATATACTGGAAATAAGAGATATTAAATGAGGGCAAGTTTTTATGACAGCTTGGATCAAAGTCCAGAAACAGAAGTTTTACACTCCCATGTAGCTTTCTATGATAGACTTTATTTGACACTGCAAAGCTGTGCTGAATTAATTGAGATTCCTTGTCCCGTGTTTAGAATTTTGTTTTTCATTTTTTTCCTTGTAATTCTTCTCTCATTTCTAAAAGCTGTAGCATTTTTATTTGCAAGGTATTTACATTACAATCAAATTATGTATATAAATATTGCTATGCATTTTTAAAAATTATTGTTTCTATAATTATATAGGAATATAAACCCTTCTGCAATTTTCAGACAAGTGAATTATTAAGCATATTTTGTGAGGTAGTTGTTAGTGTTGATGATAATAAAACCCTCTGGGCACTGACCCAGTCTAACTTTGATATTGTTTATAGTATTTTTATAATGGTAATTCTGGTGCAATAATGGCCCTTCTTTCCTTATGCTGTTCATAACCAGGGCCCATATAACCAGCTCTAAGCTGCCTGTTACTGCCCTTGAAGCATTCTTGTGGATTGCATTCTTCCTGCCTGGACAAATCCACACGAGCCCCTGACATAATGTTTCTCATTGCTCTTCTGTCTCTAGTGTTTTCAGAGTTTCAAATTCAGACCCATTTTAGGGCCTAAACTACATACTACATGTTACCTAAAAATACAGCAGAATTAATGCAATGGCAATTAGTATAGATGGATATCTTTAAATAAATCAATTTGCTTTGTATAACACAAACTTAAATAGGCTTGTATCATTCAGTACCTTTTTTTTCAGGCTGTCATCTATGATCTGTAGAAATTGTCAGTATTTTCACAAGTTAATATCCTCAATACCTCAAGATTAGGAAATTTTTAGTATTTTGATTATGCTATGCAACAAAACTTCTTTTATAAATTCTTCTGCTTAAATAAAAGATTTGACTCTGGTCTTAAGTATCAATTCTTTTGAAATATTTGGAATTCCGTTCAGGATGTATAGGTAACGTCTGTACCTTTGCTCTTATCTGATTACAGAGACTGTGTCCTACTTTGAGGCATTCCCTCCTCTAGATTTGAAAATACAGATTAATTTAGAAGTTAAACCTATAATTGCTGTGTCAGTATATATTTGTTCTTTGTTCCCACAGCCAATTGTGGAATAAAAACCTCTTCCTAGGATTAAAAACCTCTTCCTAGGATAAAAAACGTTTAGTAAAGACTGTACGACAATTAAATAAATCAGTGAGTTGATGGATAGTGAAGAGTTGAAAAATGACTAATTTCCGAATTTAGGATGCAGACTAGCTACTGACTTTGCAGGACTTCCTATGAAATTAGTTTAGCTGCATAGATGTAGATTCAGTTGGCCACTATTACAGCTGGTGAATGTGGCTTGGAAATATCTGTTATATCAGGTTCTCAGGGAAAAGTGCCTGTGAGCCACATACCTAGGAATAAAAATTGAAGAAAGTCTTTCCATATGAGTCATTCATTTGATATTTAGCTTTGTAATCTTATTTACTGACTTGATATTTTATTTTAAATTATTATTATTTTTACAATGTAAGTGCTTTATTCATTTTTTCTGAATGGTAGGAATTTTATATTTATTGCCAACCAAATGATTAAGGTAGGTAAAGTGAACTGAGTGTTAAGTTTATAAGAATCATTTTGATGAATATTCTAAAAATGTTTTAAAGCTTTAGAGATATATTTTTCTCTGGTTTTTGGTTTGCAATGCAAATGCTTTTAAATTTCTTATGTGCCATTGTTAGCTTTTTTAATCTTTGGAGAGGGGAGACTTTTCCTTTGATTCTGAATTGTAAAGTAAGATTAACT